TGAGCCGGGAACGGGCGGCTGCCCCCCCTCCACAGGCAGATGAAAGCCGCTCTGTGCGTGCTTGTTCCGAGGGCGGCTGGTGGTGGGCAGGGGGACAGCCCCCAGCCACGAGGCACAGCTGGGCCCTCTCCCCCTTGGCTGTGGCAAGCTGGGGCACCCACACCAAGGGCAGAGGCCCAGAGAGCCCCAGCTGAGCTGTTAAGGGTAAGACCCTGCAATGGGATGTGCTCCTCCTAGCTCTGTCCATGGCTCCAGGCTGGCCACGTCCCTACTTTGTAACTCCGTTTCCCGTTGCAGTTCACAGAAGGATCCTGTCTTGCTGTTGGGAGGTGAGAAAAGAGGGGGGGGGGGGAGGCATTTCCTTGCCTGTACTAAGGCAGTCTCATCCTCATGTATCCCAGCTTTGCAGCTGCCTCACCCAAGTCCTGTCCCAGCCCTTTTCCTTTGAGCCCCATGCATACGTCACCAGCACTGCAGTAGGATGGGGTTTGTTAGTCAGGATGCCCCTCACAAACAGGCACCTTGAAGGGCACCCCATGGGGCAGGATGTGGGGTGCTGGGTCACTTTTACCACTCTGCAGTGCCAGCTTGGTTCCTCCTCCACTGCGTGCCAACCCAGCTCCCATTCCCCTGAGCGTCTGGCTGCTTTGGAACACCCCTTCTATGTAAATTAGGAAAAACCTCACGTTATAATGAGGACCTTGTCCACTGCTCTGTCCCGGCTCTGCCATACAAGTCACTTGCCCGGGGTGTCATGGTCTGGCATGTCATTGGCTGTGCCACCTTCTGTCTCCTGCAGAGAGGTGGGTGGGACAGTGCCCTGGGGAGAAAGGGTGGACAGACACCTATCTGCCTCTTGCACTGACAGCTGGGTCTTAGTTTCCCCACTTCTTTATTTCCCATGTGGCACACATCCCCACTGCAGAGTACTCCAGGATCTGGTCCAGGCCCCTTCCCAAAGCAAAGCCCTGAACTATTACAAGACTTGACGGGCGCTCACCAGCCCCAGCACTGCTCAGGGGATCATGGGCGCTGCTCAAGCCCTTTCTAACACTGTACCCGAACATTGAGCACTGGGACAAAGCCTGCTATTTCCGAGGCCGCTGGAGTGAAACAGGGAAACACAGCAGTGTAGCACTTTGAGAGGAAATCAGTTCAGCTCTGCCACCTCAAATATTTTTCCCGTGGGGTTGGGACCATTGCAAAAATAAACAGAGGTAAGTAAATTACTCCTCTGCTGTCCCTCCTGCTTTAGGCTCTGCCCAGCTCTAGGAGGACAGTCAGCTCAGCCAGCAAGGATATCAATACGGGGTGCTGGGATTGAAAGGAAGCCACGCTGGGCCATCAACTGGCTCAGCCCTGCGGAGAGGCAGTAGGATGCGATCTGCACAGCCCTTGTCCCAGCGGAGAGGCTGGGGTCAGGGCAAAGGCACTTGGCATAAGCTTCCATGATCTGAAATCCTTCACTGGCAGTGTGATCTAGTGGAAAGAGTGAGTGGGCTAAGGGTGAGGGTAGTGGGGTGTTT